GCGGCGCTCTCTGGACTGGAGGTCGAGAGGGGCACGTGCTCGGTCGCGGCTGGCGACGTCAGCAGCGCATTTACAGGATGCGGTTGCCCCCCTGCGCGGACCGCAGCTTGCGCCTGCCGGCGTGCCGGGCCTCCCAGGCGAGCTGGCGCAGGGCTGCGTCGCCGTGGTGCCCGTCCGTTTCTCGTGGTCCATGCATCAGGAGGGAAAAAAACACACAGACACAATCAATCGCCGATTCCCCAGAACATATGGGAAGCTATGCGAAGTGGGGGGGAAGGCAAAAACACAGAAAAGATTGGAAACTAGGGGGAGTCTTTTTATCTGTGCGTGTTTCTTTGTGTGTCCTGGGGCCCCCTCAGTGCCGCCGTGCCAGAGCGCACTGCGGTCGGGCACTGCCCGCCCCGGGGCGCCCAGCTCTCTGCTCGGCCAGCACGGCCGGTAGCGAGCGCGCAGCTCGCGCGCGACGGGGCGGCGTGGGCTGCGCGGGGCACGCCGGCAGTTGCCCGGCCGGCGGCGCCGCCCCGGCGGGCGTCGACGTCGCCGTCCACCGGGTCTCGGGGCAGCTCCGCGCCGTCGGCCGTCGAGCTTCGGGCCGGACGAAAAGGGGGGATTGGGAAAGGGGGGGTTACAAAATTTGCTGCATGCAGCTGGTTTCGGCCCCACCGAGGGGCCCATTCCTCGATACATAGCCGCCTCCGGCGCCGGGAGGCGCCGGGAAAATCAGCTTCGTGAGCCGATTCTCAAACCCCCCCTTTGCTATCCCCCCTTTCGCCCAACCCGGAAGTTCGTCAGGCCGACTACAGTCAAAAACCCTAATAAGGACGCGCGACGTTGCTCAGGGTACCCTTGCGTCCTTGCGCTTCCTTGCTCTTGCGTCCTTGAGGCGTTCGTCGTCCGCCGCCCCAGAACTCCCAACTTCGGCTTCCAAGGATCTTGCGTCCTTACCGCGCGTCCTTATTAGGGTTTTTGACTGTACGCCACGGGGGACTGCGCCTTCGTGGACAGGGGTCTGCGATCCGGGCGGCGGCCGTCCATCAAGGGCCGCAACGCCTGCGGCTCGCCATCGAGGAGGCGCCAGTGCTAGGGCGCGAGCGAGTCCAAGCTCGACGCGCGCCGCCAGAGGGCCCCGTGCTTTGAGGTCGCCATAGGGCATGCCGATTCGAGGGTTTTGAGGCCGCTCGGGAGAGGGCTTCGCGAAATTATTGCGTCTCTGGCAAGCCCTGTCTATTCTGCGCTCACTCCTTGATTGGCGATGTTGGGCCTCGTTCGTGAAGCCGTCTGCTGCCGTCTTCGAGAAGGTGTCGCAGTCGTTGCTCGCGCCGAGCAGGCGGGGCGGAGTCATTGCCGCTGATGTCGAGACTGGGACCTGCATCCTAGCACTGGAAGCCGAGGCGCTGCTGCTGTCTCACCGCCACTTGCTGCGCTCGGGCGCCTGTTTCGGTACGGTAGCTGCCTGCTGGCAATCGTCGACAACCATCGGCCGCTCTGCCTCGCTGGCTCAAAGGGTCGTGCCGGGTCGCCGTGCCTGAAGACGGCGCTGCTCAAGATTGTTATGTCGCCGCTGGTGTCTGGCTCCCGCCTCTGGCGCCGATGGATCCAGTCGGAACGCAACCTTTCGGACCTTCTCAGTCGAGGCAAGCACTCTCATGATTGCCCGATTTAGCTCGCGACGGCTCAAGGTGTCATGCTAACGCTTCAGGGTGTTGGCTGCCGTATCGTTTCACCCAAAGGGGGGCGTTCTTCATCGCTTCCCACGGTTGCAAACCTGGAGTTCCGCACACATACCTTGTGTCGGCGCTGGACATCCCTGGCGGCGTTGCAGGCACCGTCCCTGGCGTGCTCCGTGCGCCAGGGGAGGGGATCTAGCGCTGATGCAGAGAATCCATGCTGATTTACACAATTTCGAAGCAAACGCGTTGAAGTAAGGACCACTTTGGGCCCAGTAAGGCCTCCTGGGATTTAGGTCGGGAAGCCCACCGAGGCTCGCTATGGCCAGAAACATCCTTTCGCTCCTTCCTCAGCGTTCCTGTTAGTAGCACGATGGCTGTATGCCGATGCCACTCTCATGGAGACAAGTGGCGGCGGAGGCGACGACGGCGGCCAGGGCCGGCGTCGTCGGCGGCGATCTCCCCGGCGGCCAGGGCCCACCACCGCCGCCGAGCGCTTCGGCATCACCTCTTTCGTCTACGCGGCGCGCAGGCCCCCTCCAGTGCGTCGACCGTCGTCGGTCGTCGTCGGTCGGCGTCGTCGCCAGTCGTCTTCGTCGCCGTCGTTGTCGTCGTCGTCGTCGTGGCGGGCGCCGCCGCCGCCGCCGCCGCCGTTGTCGTCGTCGTCGTCGTCGTCGTCGTCGTCGTCGTCGTCGTCGTGGTTGTGGTCGTCGTCGTCGTTGTCATCGTCGTCGTCGTCGTCCGTCGTCGTCATCGTCGTCATCGTTTTCGTCGTCGTCCGCGGTGGTTGTCGTCGTCAAGAGTCGTCTCCAGCGATTCTCTCAATCCCGACGTCGCCAATGCATAAGCGATGCGGTGCGACCCGCGGACCAAATTTCTTCCGACCAGAGTCGAGAGTGTCATCATCGTCGGTCTTTGTCGTCGTCGTCGTCAGTTTTTGTCGTCGTCGACGGCGGTTTTTGTCGTCGTCGTCGTCGTTGTCGTCGTCGTTGAGGGTCCGTTGGCGAGCATCGAGATCGTCATGGTCAGATGGAGAGCTGGCTGCGGCGCCGCAGGCCCTTCAACGCCGATCGGCTGGCTGAGGCGCTGTCGAAGTGGCCTGTGCCGAATAAGGACTGGCGACGACGACGACGACGACGACGATCACTCTGAGAACGTCTTGGCAGCACGCCAGTCGAGTGCCTGGGTGGTACTCCTGGGACGTCCTCGTCGGCGCGGCTGGACTTTCCTCGGGCGCTTGGCCAGGGCGCACCCCTGGACGGGGCCACGAGGAGATGTTTAAGGGCTGCCCTGCGGGACAGGGCGTCCTGGAAGAACGGGTCCTCCGGAGGCTTCTCGCCGTTCCCAGGCTTCTGGGCGGGCCGTCCTTGGTTCTTGGGAGAGCCCAAGGGTCCAGGGACCGTCGCCACCGGGATCCACCTTTCTAGGCTTCCCAGGGCGTCTTCGTCGCGACGGCCGCATTGGGTTTGGAATCCAGATCAGAACGCGTTCCAGAGCAGGTTCGACCAAAGATTGCGGTCATCGTCGTCGAGGTCGCCGTCGCCGTCGGCGTCTAGATCGTCAACGATGACAATCGCGACGACACGGGGGCTTGATTTGCATAGTTTTCGCCGTTGGGGAGGGCCGCCGTCCTCAACATCTGGATCCGCTGGTCAGAACGCGCTCCATGATAGACCTGGGAGCCGACACGGCATGACGAGGATGACGGCTTTCTCGAGATCACTGTCTCTGCAGGCTTCTCGGCTGGTCTGGGAGGTCTTCGGCGCGTCGCTCAGTGGCTTCTCGATCGTATCTGGAGGCATACTGCAGTTTCGGGAATGCGGGAAGAGGTTTCGCAGGGTGGCCCTCTTCTGCCTCAAGTAGAACGGCCCTGGGCTCAAAATTGGTTCTGCGGGGGGAGGGGCATGCTGTCAAGCGTTGGGCCCGCAGAGCAAGAGCCACGGCGGGCTCCCACACACCCCTTCGGGAAGCCAGCCCGCAAGTCTCGCGACCGCACAGGAGGAGAAGGAGGAGAGAGGAGGAGGAGGAGGAGGAGGAGGAGGAGGAGGAGGAGGAGGAGGAGGAGGAGAGGAGGAGGAGGAGGAGGAGGAGGAGGAGCAGGGAGGAAGGGACGAGGAGGAGGATGAGGAGGAGCGAGGAGGAAGAGGAGGAGGAGGAGGAGCGAGGATGAGGAGGAGCGAGGAGGAGGGATGAGGAGAAGGAGGAGGAAGGATCAGGAGGAAGGAGGAGGAGGAGGAGGAGGAGGAGAAGGAGCAGGAGGGAGGGAGGAGCAGGAGGGGGGGAGGAGGAGGAGGAGCAGGAGGAGGAGGAGGAGGAGGGAGAAGGAGGAGGTGTGGAGGAGGAGGAGTCGCTCCTCTTCCCTCCCCCCTAGGGCGCTGGGTCCTGGCTACCCCGCCTCCCTTCTGGGGGGTCTTACGTTCGATTTCCTTTTTTTCCGCTACAGGATTTTCGTTTGCCCAGCCCCCCCGCCCAGGGGCACAGGCCCCTGGGGGGAGGGTGATTCGACGAAGAAAAACGACGCCAAAAACATAAACTTCTGGCGCTTCGCTGGGATCCGGGGCCCCCCCGGCGGCGCCTCCGGCGCCGCCCCTGGCGCGCACCGCGCGCCAGGGAGCGCGGACCGTCGACAGTGTATGTTTATGTCGTTTTTCTTCCTCTAGGGATGGCTGCGTCAGTTCGACTCAATACAGTCGGACCGAGGTGTCAGATCGAGGTCGGTTCGGGGAGGGTGCCCTGATGCTGGGGAGGGTACCCTTGGACGTTCTGTTTGTGTTGGCCGAGGGAGGGCATCATGTTCTTGAAGGATGTTATTCTGGCCGATGTCCGACTGCAGCCAACAGCTCGAAGCTCAAAGGGAGAGCTTGGCATGGGCCACCGCTGCTGGCCAGGAAGGGGGGGGGGCTGGACGTCTTCTGCGCCGCGGTCTCCGCGAAGCTCGGGGGATGCGCGGCGCTGGCCCGACCCCTCGGCTGTCCCAGGCGGAAGGTGAGAAGGAGAAGGACGCCGAGGAGCACGAGGAGGACGAGCAGACCGACGGTCGCGACGACGTCGGCGATGGCGACGACCAGTGCGACGGGCACTGCAGACGAAGGCGGTGGCGACGAGGACGACGAAGACGACATGAGCCTTCGATGCGCGCGGGTCCTGTTCGCCGAAAGGTGCCCCTCGACGGCCCCTGGACCAGGAGCTCCTCCAGAGGCCCAGAAACCAGAGAAGCCAGCCGCCGAGATGTTCCGCGGCGCTTCGGAGGTGGCGGCGGCGGCCACTACCCGTTGCCAGGACGACCTTGGCGAAATCTTGTCCTCCGCTTCAGCGGAGCCCGACACCGCGGAGGCGGGGGGCGATGTTGAATTTGGTGATGATGCTGATGATGCTGCTACTGCTGCTGGTAATGATGCTGCTGCTGATGATGATAATGTTGATGATGATGCTGATGGTGGTGATCATGATGATAATGCGGGAGATGATGATGATGATGTTGATGATGATGATGATGATGATGATGATGATGATGATGATGATGATGATGATGATGATGATGATGATGACGATGACGATGACGATGACGATGATGATGATGATGGTGATGATGATGATGATGATGATGATGATGATGATGATGATGATGATGATGATGATCATGAGGAGGAGGAGGAGGAGGAGGAGGAGGAGGAGGAGGAGGGGGAGCAAGAATGAGTGAGATTATGTTCCGTCATGGCGATGATGATGGTGATAATGATCCAGCTGCCTCCGGCAATTCCGCCACCGTGCCAGCTCAGCATTCTGGGTGGCAGCTACTCGAGGAAGCAAGGGGACCTCTTCGGGCAGAAGGCTCGAATTCTTGGTTCGTGTTTCCGCTCTTGGGCCCTTCTTGGGGCCATCTTCGGGCTTTCGTGGGCAGACTTGGGCGCCCCTTCGGCCGTCTTGGAGCCATCTTGGGCCGCCTTGGTGCTCTCTTGAGGGACTCTAGAACCGTCTCGGGGAGTCTGGGGGGCCTCTTGGGCCGTCTTGGAGAGTCGCACGCTCGAACAGGCGAACGAACATCCCAAACACATTGAAAGAGCAACGGGCAATCATTAGTTTGTGCCTCTCGGAGTCCTCTTGGTGGCCTCTTGGGGGCCTGTGTTGACCCTCGTGGGGCCTTCTGAGCCTCGGGGCGGAAGGTCCGAATTGTCGGCTCGTGTTCACCCTCTTGGTCCCTTCTTGGGGTTGGGGGCCTTCTGAGGCCTTCTTGGTCGCCTCTTGGGCCGCCTCTGAGCCCCCATGGGGCCTCGTGGGGGCCTCTTGGGCTCCTGGGACGTCGGAAGCTCGACAAGGCGAACACTCGATACAGATTGACAATCAAAAGGAAATCATTGATTTCAGGAGGGGGAAAAACACAGACACAATTCTTTACGCTTCGCGTATCCCCACCAGCCCATCTCACAACAGCAACTCATGCGAAGCATGCCGACAGTCGTGTTTTTCAGGCGTGTGTCCGTTTGGCCCCGCATATCTCCCCTGTTCTTCCTTCCTCCCGCCTCCTTGTACATCCTCCTTGTGGGGGGAGCGGGAGAAGGACGAGGCGGAGGAGGAGGGAGAGAAAGCGCTCCTCGTGATTTGAGTCGTTTGGGGTTTCTCGTCCTGGTGTGAGTCGTTCGGGCCCTTCTTCCTGGTGTGAGTCGTTCGGGCTCTTCGTGGTGTGAGTCGTTCGGGCTCTTCGTCCTGGTGTGAGTCGTTCGGGCTTCTCGTGGTGTGAGTTGTTCGGGCCCCTCATCCTGGTGTGAGTCGTTCGGGCCCCTCCTCCTGGTGTGACTCGTTCGGGCTCCTCGTGGTGTGAGTCGTTCGGGGCCCGCGTCGTGGTGTGAGTCGTTCGGGCTCCTCGTGGTGTGAGTCGTTCGGGCGCCTCGTCCTGGTGTGAGTCGTTCGGGCCCCTCCTTGTGGTGTGAGTCGTTCGGGCTCTTCGTGGTGTGAGTCGTTCGGGCCCCTCGTCCTGGTGTGAGTCGTTCGGGCTCCTCGTGGGGCCTCTTGGGTGCCTCTTGGAGCCTCGTGGGGCCTCTTGGGGGCCTCTTGGGGTGCTTGTATAAGCGCTGCCCCTCTTCCTGGTCTGACTCGTTCGGGCTCCTCGTGGTGTGAGTCGTTCGAGGCGCGCGTCGTGGTGTGAGTCGCTCGGCCTCCTCGTGGTGTGAATCGGTCCGGCGCCTCGTCCTGGTAGGAGTCGTTCGGGGTCCTCCTTCTGGCGTGAGTCGTTGGGTTCTTCGTGGTATGAGTCGTTCGAGCCCCTCGTCCTGGTGTGAGTCGTTCGGGCTCCTCGGGGGGCCTCTTGGCGGCCTCTTGGAGCCTCGTGGGGCCTCGTGGGGGCCTCTTGGGGGCCTCTTGGAGGCCTCTTGGGGGCCTCCTGGGGCCTCTGGGGGCCTCTTGGGGGCCTCTTGGGGGCCTCTTGGGGGCCTCTGGGGGCCTCTTGGGGGCCTCTTGGGGACCTCTTGGAGGCCTCTTGGGAGGCTCCTGGGGGCCTCTTGGGGCCATCTTGGGGCCTCTTGCGACCTCCTCAGAAGCGCCACGAAGCGCTGCCCCCTGAGGAAGACAAAATGAGCCCAAAACCCTCGTAAAATCAATGATTTTGCTATGAAGGAAGATGAGCGCGGCCCCCTCGGGAGGCCAACATGGGGCCAAAACCCTCGTAAAAGCAAGGATTTTGGCTTCACAGAAGAGGAGGGGGCTACAAGAGTGCCCCCCCGTCGGGACCAGAATCCTCGTGAGGGTCGTCGTTTTTTGGCCCTCCCAGGCGTCGAAAAAGACCCCCTGACGACCCGCGGAACTCCCTGTCCAGGCCCAGGGGGAGGGGGCAGGGGGAGGGGTGAACCCCTCCCCGAAGGGGAAGAAGGGGGGTTGAGGACAGAGGGGGCTCGCTGAACCACTCACGCCCTAAAGGGCTGGTGGGATTAATCGTCGATTCCCCAGAAAATATGGGAACATATGGGAAGTGGGGGGGAAGACAAAAACCCAGAACATATAAGAAAATATGGGGAATTATTTCATTTGGGTGTATTTATTTGTGTGTTTGTGGGCCCCTTCATGATTGCTGCCTCACGATGCCCTCTTGGGGAGGCTCTTGGGGCTCCCTTGGGAAGGCCCCGTGGGCCGTCTTGAAGCTATCTCGGGTGGGCCGTCTTGAGACCAAGGTGGCCCGTCCCGGAACGATGCTTTATCAGGCCGTCTTGGAGGCATCTGGACCTCGAGAGCGCGAGTTAGTTGTAGTTCGCGAGGTGTTGTTGCCTCGGGAAGAGGGGGCCAGTGCATGCCCCTGGACGCGGTCCGAGGGAGGGGCTTTCTCGACAATTACGGAAACACGTCGAGGCAACATTTGGCATTATATCATTCCCCAACGCGCCAGGGGGCACGGTGGCGGATGACGGTGCCGATAGGGATGATGGTGATGATGATGATGATGATGATGATGATGATGATGATGATGATGATGATGATGCCAATAAAGATGTTGATGATGACGATGATGATGATGCTGATGATGATGATGATGATGATGATGATGCTGATGATGGCAATGATGATGCTGATGATGATGGTGTTGGTGAAAGTGATGGTGATGGGAATGGTGGCGCTGATGACGATGACGGTGATGGTGATGCTGTTGACGATGATGCTGATGATGTTGTTGAGAATGATGATGAGATGATGATGCTGATGATGATGATGATAATGATGATGATGATGATGATGATGATTATGATGATAATGGTGATGATGAGTATGATGATGATGATGATGGATATGAAGGATATGATGAATGTCATGGAGATGATGATGGTGATGATGAAGCTGAAGATGACGATGTTGATGCTGATGCTGCTGATACTCATTGTGATGATGGTGATGATGATGATGATGATGATGATGATGATGATGATGCTGATGATGATGATGATGATGATGATGATTATGGTGGTGGTGGTGGTGGTTGTGGTGGTGGTCGTGTTGGTGGTGACGATGAGGATGGTGGTGATAATGCTGGTGTTGCTGCTGCTGCTGCATCTGATGACGATGATGGTGGCGGTGGTGATGATGATGCCGATTCCGCTGCCGCTGCCGATGCTGGTGGTGATGATGGTGATGCTGATGATGCTGATGATGCTGATGGTGATGATTCGGATGGTGTTGGCGATGGTGATGATGCCGATGGTAACCGATGGTAATGATGATGATCATGGTCATGCTCACGATCAGGATGTTTATGCTGGTGATGACGAAGGAGGCTATGACGATCATGATGATGCTGATTGTGGTGGTGGTGATGATGACGATAGTTGGCGGTGATGGTTTAGTGGTTGTGGACAAGGCCTTCCGAGTGAGGATAATATCTGATGGGAGCGGGGGGAGTGATCCCGACGATTGCAAACTTCCATTAGAGCTCGTGGTAAGGCTTTTGGCCCCGGCCATAGTGAAACGCAGCTCGAATTATTGGCTAGGATGTCGGGAAGGAGTCATATGGGTGAGCCTGGGCGACACTGGAAGGAGATGACAGGATGCGGCAGGCCTTCTTTTCAGTGTCTTATCCTGCTCCGTCTCCTCGATGCCTCGACGCAAACGCTTGGATCCGCATCGCCGTTCCCTGTCAGAACGTGGTCCAGGAGAGGTCGATGGTCCCGTTCTCGAGGACGGAGCAGAGAAGGGAGGAGAAGGAGAAGGACCTACCGATGTCACAGGATGCCCCCCTGACGAGATCGGGGGAGGAGGAAAAGGATGATCAGGGAGGGGAGGGAGAAGGAAAGAGGATAGAGGAGTGGGGGAAGAGGATGAGAAGGGAGGCCAGTGGAGGAGGGCCGCGCCAGCCGCACCGCAACCTTAGTGGGACGGGTGGGGGGAACCGGGCGGGGAGTCGGGAGGCGAGGACGAGACCGTGGTGGTAGGGGTCGATGGGTAACAGTTTCCCGACCATTTGCCTCATTCGAGGTGCACGTCATGCTTCCCGTGCGGCCGAGTTTGTCACACATTCCAGATGTTAGTTCCTCTTACGTCTCACGACGTTGCCACACACTGCGTATCTGCCACGGCGGAGCCACCCAGCCTTGGATTTTGAAGTCACGAGCTTTACCAACCACTTGAGTCATGCCGCCTCCTGCTGCGTGCAGTCTGCCGACCTGTACCATCTACTGCAGCAGCCCGCCCACCCTACAGTGGAGACCCATGCCAAGAAACACCCTGCTTGCCTCCAGGTTGCCCTGGGTTTGTTGGGTTTCGACGGTTCTGCCATGGAAAGCGCGACGTTCCCACGCCAGAAATCAATGGACGTCTTGGTGTCTCAGGGTTGGGTTTCTTGTGGAAGGTTTCTTGCG